GAGAGGGGTGGGGCCATCATGGAGGGTGGAGCATGGAGAGGGGCGGGGCCAGCACAGAGGGAGGGGCATGAGAGGGGTGGGGCCATCATGGAGGGAGGGGCATAGAGAGGGGCGGGGCCATCATGGAGGGTGGGGTGTGAGACGGGCAGGGCCATCATGGAGGGAGGGGCATGGAGAGAGGCGGGACCAGCACGGAGGGAGGGGCATGATGGGGCGGGGTCATCATGGAGGGAGGGGCATAGAGAGGGGCAGGGCCATCAAGGAGGGTGGGGTGTGAGAGGGGCGAGGCCATAAGGGAGGTTGGAGCATGGAGAGGGGCGGGGCTGTCATGGAGGGAGGGGCATGGAGAGGGGTGTGGCCCTCATGGAGAGTGGGTCATGGAGAGGGGTAAGGCCATCATGGAGGGTGGGGTGCGGAGAGGGGTGGGGCCATCATGGAGGGAGGGGCATGGAGAGGAGCAGGGCGGGCAGAGGGAGGGGCGTGGAGGGGGCGGGGCCAGCAGAGGGAGGTGTCATGGAGGGGCGGGGCCAGCATGGAAGGAGGGGCATGGAGAGGGGCTGGGCTGGCATGGAGGGTGGGTCATGGAGAGGGGCAGGGACGGCGCAAAGGGAGCGACATGGAGAGGGGAGGGGCGGGGCTGACACAGAGGGGCCAGCGTACTCACTCCATTCAGGCTGCCCAGGTCCTTTACCCAGTGCTCGTCCCTCTCCTGGTCGTAGTTGATGACAGCATGCTGCTTGTCCACACTGCGAGACTGGGAAGACACAGGCGGCTTCAGGTGCCCTTCCTGGCTGGGCGAGGCCCAGGAGGCAGAGGCATCCCCGGCAGGAGCCCCCCATCCTCTCCCACCCCACCACGATACCAACACCAGACCCCTGGGCCTTGGAGCCAGTGAGGCCCCACCCACACTTCCCCCAGCCAGCCCTCTCAGCCATGGGAGTAGGCCACAGGGACTTGCCAAGATCCCAGGGCCGGTTCTACTCGCCCCATGGCTACCTGGCTACCACCCGGCCCCTCCCTGTGTGACCAGCCCTCCCCAGTACCAACAGGCCGGTGCCGCTCCTATCCGTGGGAGTGGCTGGGAACCCTCTGATCATCTGGGACATGCTGTGCACTCCCAAGGGCAGGCGGGGGCAGCCAGGCGAGTCCAGCAGAGCCCAGAGGGAGGATCAAGGGGTGGGGGGGGGTTTAGGGAGAGGCCTCCCCCACTCCCTGCCCAGCCAGCCCCACAGGGGCACACACGACCTCTCAGAGTGATGGACCTGTGCACACATGCTCACGTGTGATACTTCTCAGACTCTACCGCTGTCTGCTCATACACACAGGGCTCACATACACCCTGAGCACACCCTGCCACCCAGCTCCTTCGCACACGTGCACACACTCACACACATGGGTACTTCTGCCCTAAGCACTTCTAACTCTTCCCAGGCCCCTGGAACCCCCTCCCTGAGGACAGTCACCCAGCTCCCTCACAGGTCCCCCACCACGGAGGAGCCACAGGCCTGGGGCCCAGCCCAGGAGAGGCCAGCAGAAGCGGCCAACCCAGGGGTGCTGTCCAGTCCTGGCCCAGATGACAGTATGTGGCCCTGTGGTCCTGCCAGGCGGTGCCCTACAAGACACCCAGGGCTGCCTCCCGGACACCAGGGGGAATGAGGGGGCCACGGCCCACAGAGGGTGGCCCAGGATCCAAGTCCCCACATCACCACACCACCAGGCGTCTCGGTTCTCACAGGTGACTGCCGGGACTCCCCCTCTGCCAGGCAGCCGGCCACCAACCCGGAGCCCACTCTCTCTCTGACGCTCCCCCGTGCCCAGTCCCTCCGCACCATCCTGGAGTGACCAGCGGGTTCAAAGGCAGGGCCTCCTTCCTCATCCAGAGACAGGAGGGCACATCAGGCTCAGGGTGGGGTGGACATAGGCTCGGGGGCAGCCCTGCCCCCATCCAAGGTCACTCAGCTCAGCAGAGACGCCAGGGCAGGCCCTGAAGGACATGGCAGCCGGTGGGGCTGGTGGGGGATACAGCCCTCGACCTGAGCACCAGCCTCCATGCTCCAGCCTCTCCTGGACTCAGAGGCCCCAAGGTGGACGGCCTGACCCACAACGATGACGCTGCAGTGGCGGATCTGGGGGGAGGGGTAAGATGAAGAGGGAGGGGGGAGGGCCCACACCTCATCCTGCCACCAACCCTTGGTCCTCCGGAAGGGGTGCAGGGGCAATTTACAGGGCAGAGCAGAGTCTGCGGGGGCCAGCCAGGGCCACCCCTGAGCACCTGCCCCAGTGCCGCCCCCTGGGCCTGCTCCAGGTGTCCCTCCCTGAGAGGCCCCCAGGACCGATCCTGGCGGGGCTCCTGGTGCCAACTCACCTGCCTCCCAAAGCCATGGGTCTCTGGCAAGGTGAGTCTGACCTTGAGACCTACTGCCCCACCCCCAGGCTCCACCTCTGCCCCCATCCCCACGGCTGGACAGCTCCTGGACGCAGCCTCTGCCCTGGACCGCTGGCACCATCTCCTCCCTCAGACTCCCCAGCCTGTCCCCGACCCAGGCCACCCAGTGCTCACCTCCCCCGGAAGCTGGCCCTGGTGACCCTCCACTGCAGCCCCTCCCACTGGCCCTGGCCTGGGCCTCCCCCACCTGGCACAGGCAGGGGGTGGGGGGCCGGGGTTCACTGGGGGACACTGGCACTCCCTTCTCTGGGACTCAGTCTCTTGGCACACACACAGGTCCTCCCGCGTTGAAGGGGCTTCCCCAGAACCCACCCAGGGGGTGGGGCTGACAAGAATGAGCAGCTCTCTGCAGGTGCCTGGTGCTCAGGCTCGCCCACCAGTCAGTGAACTGCCCCCTTGGCGGCCCGTGACTCATGCACCACGATGCCTTAGAGTCTAGCCTGGCAGCTGGGAGGATGCGGGCTCACTGATGGGGCTGGGGGCTCACCGCCTCCTGTGCCCCCTCCCGTGCTCAGCCCAGGGCTCGAGAACAGGCCAGCTGCCCACCTCAGCCCTGACACTCAAAGGGACCCTCGGTCTCCAGAAAGCGGGCCCCAAGGCAGGGGGGCCAGACTCTGCCCTCCTTGTGGCCGGACATCAGACCTCCAGGGGGCCTGTGGGTCTGGAAAGGGCATGCCACAGGGCTGCTCGCCGGCTCCACACCAGGATTCAATGTGGCCAGACATCAGACCTCCACGGGGCCTGTGGGTCTGGAAAGGGCATGCCACAGGGCCGCTCGCCAGCTCCACACCAGGATTCACAGCCCCCCCGCCCCCCATTTGCATCCAGAGCCAGGGCTGCCCCGCCCACTCCCCCTGACTGACACTCTGCTCCCAGCTGGGGCTCTGTCACTAGGCACAGCTCCTGTCAGCCCCTTGCCAGACTGCAGAGAGCACCAGAATTCACGGGAACAGCAGGGAGGAGCCCCATCTCCAGAACCCTCCGTCCCCGCCCCGATGCCCCAGGCCAGAAGCAGACCCCAACCCTGCTGAGCCCCAGTGCTCAGAGGCTGGAAGCCTCCTATGAGAGGTGGAGGTAGCCCTTTGGCCCGGGACTCGAGACTTAAAATGACACAAGCCAGGTCCTATGGAGAGCGGCCGCTACACAGGAAGAGGAGCGGGTGTGGAACAGATGCATAAAACAGCCTTAAGAAGCTCCAAACACACGGATTTTTGGAAAAGGATCTAACTGTTCGTACTCACTTTAAAACAGAATAAAGATGTGCTTCCAAAATTCGTGTCTGACGCCCTCTGTGAGTGAAAGCCCCACCCCGGCCATGCTGATTCTGGCAGTGCCAAAGCCCGGGGCTCTGGGCACGCCCTCCTGCCAGCTCACAGCCAGTGTCACCCAGTGAGGCCACAGAGGCCACAGGGCCGGGGTCGGCCTGCTGTGTGTGCAGGGGGCTCCCGAGCTCGCCCCCTCAGGGCCACGGTTTCCAGGTAAGGATGTGAGCAGACGAATCCTGGCTGTCACACACTCCCCCAGGGTGAACCAGTGCAAACAGAGAGGATACCTCGCCACGAACATGCACATGTACGTGCACACACATGTGCAACACATCCATGTGTGCGTGTACACATGATATGTGCACATATACACATATGCATACACACATGAACATGCACACACATCTGCACGTGCACTTGCACTCACGTGTGTGCGCATACACAGCTGCGTGTGTACATGCACACAGGCCGTGCGCCAGAGCCCTGGGCCGCCCGGGGGCAGTAGCCACGGCAGCAGTCTCAGCTCTGACACCAGGCAGCCCTGGGCAGCAACCCTGCTCACGTTTGTGTTATTTAACACATGCTCGCTGGGCACCAGCTCTGTGCCAGGCTTGCGCTGGGAGCCAGGACACTGTGGTGAGCAAACGCAGGCCACTGGGGAGAAGGGGCGGCACGTGGCCAGGCGGGCCGGCTCTGCCTCCAGAACACAACTCTCCCCTACCTCCCCTGCCCCCAGCGCCAAGCCACAGCCACTCTTGCCTACAGCCTCCCAAACGGCCCCCTGCTCCCTGGCCTGTCTCCCCCTCGCCACACAGCCCCCTCCCTCTCCCCTGAATGGAGGCCCCTCCCCACACAGCACCTCTGCTCCGCCCCCTGCTCCTCCTCCTCAGCTCTCAGCAAAACATCAACACAGTCACAGGGTCCAGTCAGCCCCTCAGACTTCCCTGCTGTCCCATCACTAGTGCCACCTTCTTCAGGTTCTCCCCTGGGGAATCATCGGGTTCCTGCTTACACATTTGTGGCCGGCCCTGCCCTGGAGTGGAGACCCAGGGAGGGCAGGGTCCTGCGTGGTTCTCCCAGCGCCAGGCACAGCGGACGGCGACTACTGAGTGACAAACGCGGGAATGAATGCAAGGACACCACAGAGGGGGCTCCGGGAGCACGCGGCAGGGAGAGGTGCAGAGGAGCTGGCTGCTGAGCACAGGGCGGGCAAGGGCGCCCGAGTGGAGGGGCTGAAATGGGGTGAGGGGGATCCGGAGTACCAGGGCAGGTGTGGGGAGAGGCTGGGGCCCAGCGGGGGCCTAACGGGCCGGAGTGCCTGTCCCTGCACCCCAGTGGGGTGGAAACAGCACTCAGGGATGCCTGAGGCGCAGGTCAGGGAGAAGGAAGGTCAGGGTTTGACCCTGGATGCCTGGTGGGGACCCTGACAGGAACTCGGTGAAGGGGACAGAGGATGATGGGTTTCACTCAGTGGCACCAAGTCTGGGCCACCTCTGAGACAGTGGAGCGGGCTGATGAATGCAGGAGGCGGGAGACAACGTGTGAATCATCTGAGCAGAGGAGGAAACTGAGGCTGGGGGTGTGGACAGGACCTCCAGGGAGAGGTGAGTGGGCAGAGAGGGAGAGCTGAGAGGCCAGAGGAAGGCTGGAGCTGCCATCCTGGGAGGAGGGGCGGCAGGGCTGTGTGCAGTGGAGACAGGGCTGCACCGTGGTGTGGACATGAGGCCAGGCAGCAGTGGTATGGACTTTGGGCTGTGTGGCGGTGGTGTGGACTTGGGGCCGGGCTGCAGTGGTGGGAGGTGAGGATTCCCTAGTGGGGACTCCTCACTAGAGTGAGGGGTGACGGAGGCCGGCAGGAAAGCACAGTCCCTGCGAGGATGAGAGGACGGGGTACCCTGAGCAAGGGATAGGTGGGCTGGGGCAGGAGGGTGGTAGGCCGACTGCAGGGGGGTGCGGGGGGGACAGCAATCCCACACTCACTCCACACCTGCCTCACTCTCTCCACGTGGTGGAAACTGCACAGGTCAGCAAGGGGCAGGAACACAGGTGCACCCAGGCCAGAGGCCGGCCCCGAATGCAGGGCTGAGAAGCACCCCCACTCCCGCCCTGCTCAGCGCCCCACCACTAATTAGCCAGAAGTTAGGAATAGGACACCAAACTCACTCTGAGCACCCTGACCCCCACCAGGAGCTTCTCCCCCCATACCTGGAAAAGGAACCAAGCAGAATGAGGCCTGGTGCAGGGGGACAGAGCCAGGCTGGGGCAGGAGGGGCACCCACGCTGGGCCCCCAGCTCCCCAAGGCCCCCGGCACCTGGAGGCCCCCAAAATCCACCACCCCCCAGCACCCACAGGCACCTGCAGGCTCCCATCAAGCGCCACCTCCTCCAAGAGGCTCTCCTGGCCACCCCAGGTGGAACGGCAGGGCCATCGACAGGCCACACAGGCACAGCATGGAACATAAGCACCTGCCAGGGGTCAGGGCCCATGTGGTGACCCCTTAGATCTCCCTCCTGTCGAGAGAGAACTCGGGTCACATCATACGACACCCTAGGGGAGCAGTGCCCACATCTAGACCTCACCCCGGCTGCTCCACGAGGACTGTACACTTTGAAATGGTTTAAAAAAAATCAAAAGACTGTTCTATGACACGTGAAGATGACATGAAATTGGCATTTCTGTGTCTGTAAATACAGTTGTACTGGCGCAGCCGCGCCTGTTGCTTTACTACTGTCAAGGCCGGTTCTTCGTGACAACGGCAAAGCTGAGTAGCTGTGATGGAGGCGTGTGGCCCGTGAGGCCTCAATATGTACCCAGGCCTTCAGAGAAAACATGCGCCCACTGCCCTACAGAGCCCCCAACTCGGTCTCCAACGTCCAAAGGATGAAGAGAAGGGGAAAAGGGGAGAGACTGTTAAGACCCTGAGGAGATGAACAACCAGAGGCAACAGAAGGCCTTGCTGGGTCTGGGTCAAGCAAATCAGAGGACATCTGGAGACAAACATTTGCTGTCCAAGTGGACGTGCACACGGCTGGGACCCCCACTGCAGTCCAAGCCCCACGCATCCTGGGGCTGCACAAGGGAACCAGGGTCTGGGCGAGGCCTCACCTGACACCTGGGGGGGCCCCTTGGCCAGACCAGGCAGTGCAGCCCACACGGGAAACCCGCTCCCTTCTGAGAGCCCCACAGTGGGGGCGTGGAGCTCGGGGACAGGGGCCCCTGTGCCACACTGAGGAGGGGTCAGGGCTGCAGGGAGCCTGACTCAGTCCACCCATGAGGAGCAGGGACAAGGAATCCGAGCTGGGTAGACCTTACAGGGTCAGTCCATCACCCCTTCTTGTTCCCAAACAGCCAGACGTGTGAGCCCCACGGAAGCCAAACTTGGACTCTGAAACCCGGGGCAGAGAGAAATTCCTGACTGCCCAGCGCCTGGTGCCCTGTCAGCCTCACGTGCCCGAGAAAGGCCCCCTGCCCCCCAGGGCACCTCAAAGGGGCACCAGCCTTCCCCTGGACAGTCTGATGGTCAGAGCTAGCCCTGTGGCTCCCCACCCAACTCATGGCCCAGGTGGGGTCCCCAGACTACAAAGATACAGACAGATCCACTTTCCAGCACCTTCCAAAGGTGGGCCCCTGATGCCTCGAGAATTAGCAGCCTAAGCGCCCTCCTGTCCAAAAAGGTCTGACACGCAGAGGCAGAGACCCACGCCTGTGAGGACATACCCCACCTGCACATGCCCACCCAAGGCCCCAGAGCCCACCGTGGGTCCAGGGCTCAGGTGGAGACGCCCGGGCCTGGGCTGTGTCGAGGCCTCCTCACCAGGTGTCCACCAGCAGCAAGGAGGGTGGCACCTTCCTGGCCTCCAGCCCTGCCCCCCCTCGGCCCCAGGGTGCCCCCACTCACCTGCAGCATGAGCTCACACTCATCACGCCCCACGAAGATGAGCTCTCGAGGAAGCCGGTGGCGGGTGCCGCTGCTGCTCACCAGGAACCAGGAGGTGACGCTCATCTTGGCACTGGTGAGGCCCGTCTGGCCCTGGGGGGAAGGAGTCGTCAGAGTGGGGCTCCCCTGCCAGGGCCCAGGCCCCCTGACACACGGAAGGTGCAGCACAGACCCTGCCCCTGAGGTTCAAGCCCCTTCACGGCACCACCGCAGCGGCCGCTTCTGGACACGCTGGGCTCCAGCCACATAGGCCACTGCCTCCCTGAGTGTGTCTGCCCCGTGGACCCCTCCCCAGTGAAGATCATCTGCTCCTCCCTCATGCTCCTGCAGAGGCCCCCAGACCAGAACAGTACCGGGTGAGCAGGGCATCAGGTAGCCCCTCGGTGCCCAAGAGGGAGGTGGTGCCTTGGTGCCCAAGGTCCTGGGGGCCTTGGCAAGGCAAGAGTCTGAGGGGCTGGAGTGCTCAGGGTGGGCAGGGGAGCACATGGTGGCTTGAGGGGCACAGTGGGGGCAACTCGAGTGATGACAAGGGCGGATGTCGTCCCAAGACCGGGCCCTGGGCAGCCTGAGGCCCTGCTGCTCTAGGACAGCGCAGGCCCCAATGGGGCCAGTGTGCACGCTCTTGCACAGATGCCCTGCTCGCCCAGCGCATGCGAGCAGAGCCGTGTCACTACCCCAGGAGAGGTGCATAGGCGCCAAATGTGCAGACACGCCTGTGCCACATGCGTGCACACGGCCTCCACATGTACCAGAGCACCACCCACAGGTGCCCTGGCCACTCTCTGCACACACACTCACACCGCTGACACACACACACGCTGGGTAAAGTGCATCCTGAGCACTGCCACGCGCCAGGCGGTCTCCTGGGCTCTGAGACAGCCATGACCAAGACACACAGCGTCCCCACAACCCAGGGCTTCCCTCCGGCCAGGGAGGCAGGGGGCAAAGCAGGCAAATGGCGGCTCGTGAGAATGCGCGAGGGACACAGAGAAAAACGGGCTGGGGCAGGGGTGGGAAGGCGCGCTGGGAAGGTGACATCTGAGCAAGGTGGGTAGCGAGCGAAGTGGGCATGTGAACATCTAGGGGACCGCGTTCCAGGCAGAGGGAGCAGCCAGTGCAAAGACGCTGGGTTGTACGCCCCTGGGAGTCCTGTGGCTTGTCCTGGAGTGAGAGAGGGGAGTCCCTGGAGGCCCAGGACATGCTGCATCATTGTGGGGCTCAGTGCAGAAGGAAAAGGAACAATACCTTGTTCAAAAATTAAGAAGAGTTCCAAAGCAACAAGAGCAGAGCATCAAACCAAACACAGGGTCTGAGCCAGTGTGTTGGTCACACGCCTATGAGGCCGGCCCTGGAGGCCCTGAGTCTATGATCTGACTCACAGCATGGAGAACAGATGGGAGGTTGAGCAGGAGACTAGTCGGAGGTGAGACAATAACCAGGGAGAGATGATGGTGCTGGCATCCTGGTGGGAGTGAGGAAGAGGGGTGTCCCCAGACCCTGTCCCTGCAATGCCCACACCCAGAGGCCTCAGCCATGAGGCTCTTTGCCCAGGGCTCAGCTTCTGGGGGCGTGGGGAGGGGGAGTGGGCAAGGCCACCAGGCCCCACCCATCTGTAAAGGCCCAAGTGACCACGTATCCCATGGCATACCCTCATGTCACTGTACCCTCACATCACCTCAGGCAAGCATGGGGGAAGAGGTGGAAAAATCCGCCCCAGGAGAAGGCAGCTCCCGCTGGGCAGAGCCAGCTCACCCCAGGCCCCCTGCCCTTCCTTAGGGTCCAGCCAGAGGGGCAGGCCCTGGAGGCCAAGGGGGCGGGGACTTCCGCGGCCTTGGGGAGGCCTCCACAACCCCAACCTCCTAGAAAACCCCTCAGTGGGGCAGCTGGGGGAGATGACAAGGCTCTCTCTTGGGGAGCCCCGCCCCATTACTGCGTTTCCCAGCACCCAGCGCAGACCCGGCGCCCCGCACTCTGCCTTCACCTGCTACCAGCTCCCCATGGGCAGCAGGCACGGAGACCCCACCCAGAGGAGGCCACAGCCTCTGCGTTCGGCAAAGGGAAGCCGAGCCCCCTGAGCCTGTGCCATCGCAGGCCATCCTGAAAAGGCCCAGGCCTGGGAGCTGTGGACGCTCCAAAAAGGCCTGCGGTCGGTTCGGGGCTGGGCTGGCCATCGTTGCTAGGAGGGAGAATAATAAACACCCCAAACTTGTCCCCTCGGCCGCCCCAGCCAGAAGAGCCACCCGGCTGGAGGTGAGAAGGGGAGGAGGTGGAGTCGCCGAGGGGCTGGGAGCGGCGGGCGGGCGGGCGGCCGCAAGGAGCAGACGGAACGGAGGCCGGGGACAGGCTGGGAGGCAGGGACGGCGGCGGCGAAGGGAAATGAGGAGAGAGGGAGGAGGAGGAGGAAGACGGAGGGAGGGACCGCGGGAGGAGAGACCAGGCCGGGAGGCGGCCGGGCGGGAGCGCCGGGCCCGGAGGGGGAGGGAGCGGCGCCTTCTCCTGAATCAGCGCTCGCCGGGGGCGGCCATGGCCGAGCCGGTGCCTGGGCGGGGACCCCGGCGCCCGGGCCTGCGCCCCCATCTCCAGGCCTCGGCGACGCGCGCCGGGCGGCCCCTCCCGGCCTGGCGCAGACCTGGGCTGCCTCCGCGCCGGCGGGGACTGGCCTGGCCAGGTGCGCCGGCGGTCCCCCACCCCAGAGCCTTTGTCTGGCCCCGCGGGGTCCCCGCTCCCCTGCCCCCTGTCCCTTGCCTCCTCCTCGCAGGCGCGCAGGTGCGGGCGAGGGAGGCCCCCGCGCCACGGGCGCAGGGCGGTGCGTCTTACCTGCGGCTCGATCCCGGCTGGGACCCGGCTCGGCCCCGGCCCTCCCGCCCGGCCCGCCGAGCGCTG